AAGAGAGAGAGAGAGAGAGAGAGAGAGAGAGAAAGAAAGAGAGAGAGAGAAAGTAAGATGAGGCGGGGAGAGGAGAAAGTGAGCGGAATAAGGGTGGGAAGGATAGACAAAAACTGTTATGCGTGGTAAATGAGAGAGGAGAAACAATGAGATAGAAGCAACAAAAAAAACAAAAAAACAAAAAAAGAATGCAAAAGACATAGAGACAAATAAAGACAAAAAGATGAAGATAGAGAAATAAATCGATGGACGTATATTTAAAGATCTCACGGGGATATAAGAAGATAGAGTAAGAGAACGGAAAGAGAGGGAACGAAAAAAAGCAGACAGACAGACAGACATATATTTATACACCCTCCCCCACTCACCGTGATAGCCTCAGGGTCTCCCCCAAAAGCCCTGATATTGTTCTTCACCCATTTCAGAGCCAGGACTTGATCCCACAGCCCGTAGTTCCCGAGGCTAGCGCTCGAGTTGGTAGACAGGAAGCCCAGGAGACCCAACCGGTAGTTGATAGTGACCACTATGACGTCATTGTGGGTGACCAGAGAGCCAGGCATGTAGAAATCCGCGAAGCCGTTGAGGTTCCCCCCTCCGTGGATAAAGAAAAGGACCTGGAGGGAAACAAAGTGGGTGATTGGAGGGTGCCAGAGGTAGGTTCTACTTCTTATCAGTTGTTCTGTTGTTTTAGTCCGTATATCTGTCTCTTTTCCTAGCACTAAATGGCCATTGGTTTGAGCTTCAGCCCGACGTCGTGTCCTTGGGAAAGGCACTTTACTCGAATTTCCCATTTGGCTCAGTCCTTTCTGAGAAGGACGTTAAACTCGGAGGTCCCGCCTCTTAATTGATCAAATAACTGATCGCTTTTAAGGACAAGCGGGCTAACCTATATTTCGGGGATTTCCGGAAATCTTGACCTACACAAAAAGTGGGTGTTGCCCTACCTATAGGAAGACGTTTGGTTTTATTGGCGTGTATATTTATTTGTATGGTGATAGAGAAAACTCTCCTCGTCTTTTAAAGAAACTGAATAAGGGGCAAAAATGTTACCTTCGATTTTCTCAAAACAGCATTTTTCGGGATAGCCCCCTTGTGCTTAAAAGCGACCAATTTAGTAGTGTTGAAAGGTGCGTTAAACCTATACCAGTTCACCATTTCAACAAATGGCTGTTATGGTGTTGATATGTTTCTCTTTAGTTAGCCTAAACTAAAGGGGAACACCACAAAGGTACTGCGTGGGAATCACGTGCTTGCTCAGAACAAAGTGACAGCTTCGTTGGTATCTTATCTTAAGTAAAATAGGATTAGCTGAAGTTATTATTGTTTATTTTATTAGTTTTAGTAAGAGTTCTACCGCGCTTACAACTGCATAAGGTCATGTAAGCTCTCTTGTTTAGTTTAGTTATATATATA